ATAGTTTACCATGTAGATCTAATTTTCCCAGCACCGTTTATTCTTTCTTTGCTGACTGGTTTCAGCACCTCTATTTAAAATCAATTGACGTGCCCTGGCCAGTATGCCTCAGCGGTTAGAGCATAGGCCCATGGCCCAGCGATTCCTGGGTTTGATTTCCTCTAAGGGCATGTACCTCGGTTGCAGTTTGTCCCCGGCTCCGGCTGGGGTTGTGTGGGTCGCGACCACTCAGTGTGTCTCTCTCACATCAATGTTTCTCTCTCTCTCTCTTCTCCCCTCTCTCCCTCCCATTCTCTTTGAAAATAAATGCAAAAATGTAACTTGGGTGAGAATAAAAAAAATCAATTGACATTATATGTGAGCAGTCATTTCTGGAGTCTTAGTTCTGTCCCATTGGTCTATATGTACATATTATTACAGTGTATAGTGCAGTATTATTGACTATATGTACAGTGTTGCACAGTAGATCTCAGATCTAGAGTTTTTTTAACTGAGACTTGATTCTCGTTAATTAATAACTGCCATTACCACCTCCTCTGAGTTCTTAATGAGATAAGTTAGTGAGCCCAGGACAAGTGGAATAGGGAAAATGAAACATGGCTGCACAAATGGGCACTTTATAGCAGATACAGAAGGACATCTCCCTAGAGGTAACATCTAGGCCTCAGTTGTATTTCAGCTCCAGGACCAGCTGAATGACTAAGGACCCCATGCCTCAACACTAACTGATTAGTGAGGACCCCAGTCCGGAAGGAGCATACGTAGAGAATGGATGGATATTCTGTTGAAACTCTCCCCTGAGAACTGCCCTAAGATTCCCACCTGCAAGAGAAAAATAAAAGCCTTAAGACAAAGGACACAGTATACACTCTCCTCAGGAGCACAGCCATGCCCCCCACCAGTTTCTTCCCCATAGGCATGCATCTTCTACACTCTATGGGCCCCCATGAGTCTTGCAACAAGGGCAGCAATGGGCAATGGGATTTCATCCCAGGCAAACCCCCTGGACCTTTCTGCAAGGCCCCCTTTTCTCTGACTCAGTAAGCCAAAGCAGACTAGCCTAGGCTCATTTCCCCAGCCCTTTCTTGTTTCACTGTCCCCAGATTTAATAAATGTCCTATAAAATTCACCTGGACTCATGTTTTGAAACTCTTCCTGTATTGTCGAGAACCCACACCCTAGTGGCCCAGCTCTAGGCAGACCCACTCAGGGCCATATTCCCTGTCAGGTAACTGTAACAACCACCATTTTTCACTCTTTCTCTCTATACATTTTAATTACTTTGAATATACCTTATGTAAGTGCAGTCATGCAGTATGTGTCTGTGACTAGTGTATTTCAGCATAATGACTTTAAGTAAATAAAATCATTAAAAAAATACATAGAAATATACTTCACTAAGGAGGTGAAAGATGTGTATATTGAGGAGTACCAAACATTGATGAACAAAGTTATGAACAAATGGGAAAATACCCCCTGTATTGTCAGAAGACAGTATTATTAAATTGTTCATACTATGGGCCACAGATTTTAGGCAATTTCTATCTAAATCCCAATGGCATATTTTTTAGAGATATAGAAAACATGGTTCATAATTCAAATGGAACTATAAAAGCACATATCAGTCTTGAGAAAGAAGAATGGAGTTGGAGAGATATTTTATTTCCTGATTCTAAAGTAATATGAAGCTTCAGTAACAAAAACCTGGTTTTGTTGCTTGTGTAGAGACAGGAATACAGACCAGTGGAACAGAATAGAGCGCCAGAAGTAAATCCACATATCAACTGATATTTGATAGAGTGCCAAGAACTCAACAATGAGATGATTATAGATAGTGTCTTCAATAAATGGTACTATTAGGAGAACTAAATACTATATGTATAACAATGAAGTTGAATCTCTAACTTGTAAAAAAAAATTTTTGTAAGGATAAAGTACCGATTTTTTTTTTAATCCTCACCCGAGGACATTTTTCCATTTTTTGTTCAGATAGAATGGGAGGGAGAGAGAGGAGAGGAGAGAGGGAGAAACATTGATGTGAAAGGGGCACATTGAGTGGTTGCCACCCACACAACCAACCAGAGCCAGAGACAAACTACAACCAAGGTACATGCCCTTAGCGGGAACCAAACCTGGGTCTCTCTGGACGGCAGGCCAATGCTCTAACCACTGAGCAAAACCTGCCAGGACTTAGTGAATTTTTTAGAGAGAGAGCTACATCATTAAGCTGCTTCCTGTACCCCTCACACTGGGGATTTTGCCCACAACCCAGGCATGTGCCTTGAGCAGGAATTGAACTGGGACCCCTTAGTCCATGGGATGATGCTCAACCACTGAGCCACACTGGCCGGGCAGTCCCTAGGTTTTAAATGGAAGTCTTAGTGAAGATTAAAATACTTGTAAAGTCCCTGGAAGAAAACTGAGGGGAAAAGCTTTATGATATTAGTCTTTCCACTATACAGACACACTCAACAAATTCACTAAAAAGGTGGCTTCTGTAATGGAAAAAGCATTTGCAACCATTTTATCTAATAAGGGGTTCATCTTGAAAATATGAAAGGGACATTTTACATCTCCACAGTAGACATATAAATGACCAATAGATTTTGAGAGACAGTGTACAATGTATGTAATAACTGAGAAAATGTAAGTCAAACCACAATGAGAAAAATGGTACACCTGTTATGGAAAACAGTATGAAGATTTCTCAAAAAATTAAAAATAGAACTACCATTTGATCTAGTAGTTCTACTTCCAAGTACTCAGAAGAATTGAAATCCTATCTCTTAGCACTTCTATATTCCTTGCAGCACTATTCACAATAACCAGAATAATGAAATAATAATTTACAGAAGAATGGATAATGTTCATTGATAAATGAATAGTTGTAGAAATGGTGTTTTTGTACAAGCCTGAAATATCCTAGTTAAATTTATTTTTCTTTTTAATACTCTTATAAGTGAAATTATTTTTCTTTATGAATTCTTTACTTAATGTATAGAAAATGCAGCTAATTTATTTAAATTATTCATTTTTTTATCCTGCCACTTTCCTGGTGTGTGTGTGTGTGTGTGTGTATGTGTGTACTCTGTCTTGGGAAAGTATTTATCCTTGTGTATATTGCAATCTTTTTGGAGTTAGTATCTTTGTTTAAATTGTCGAATGCCTATGTATCGGTTTGTGTATATACGAAAGAGATTTTTTTAAATAGTAGATTTTTTTCCCTCTACTTCCTTGTCACATTAGAGTTAAAAAACAGTTTTTTTAGTCCCAATTGATACATTTATTTAAATTAAGTACATTACTTTGATCATTTAATACACACAAAATCAATGTCTCTCTCTCTCTCATAGTTAATAAAAACATATCATCGGATAAGGATAAAATAATGCCTAAAGCCATTGGTTTTACAAGTGTATTTTCTTTCTTTTTTTTTTATCCTCATCCGAGGACATTTTTCCATTTTTTATTCAGGTAGAGTGGGAGGGAGAGAGAGAGAGAGAGAAACATCGATGTGAAAGGGTCACATCGAGTGGCTGCCACCTGCATGACCAACCAGGGCCGGGGACAAATTGCAACCGAGGTATGTGCCCTTAGCGGGAACTGAACCCGGTTCTCTCTGGACCGCAGGCCAACGCTCTAACCGCTGAGCCAAAGCGGCCAGGGCTACAAGTGTATTTTAAAGATAACGTATTTTGAGTTTCTCTTGTTAGTTCCTCTGGTTTTGGAAACATCATAGTAACAGTAATATATTTTAGTCATGGTAGTTTTTGAAAGAGAACTATATAGACAATGAGCTCATTTAGAAATTTGTACCTTAAATATTAACATTGTTAGATCATAACTATGGAAAATTATATGTCTTTTAAAACATATTTTATCTTTTTCCAAGAATATTTCAGAAAATAAACTGTTGATAATTGAATAACACAGTTTTGAACTGTGCAAGTTCATTATACACTGATTTTTCCCTCAGTAAATGCATATGTACTGTAAATGTAATTTGAGTTTTTTAACATATTTTCTGGTTTTCTTCATTGTATAAGACTACACATATGTAATACATTTAAAGTACAGAATACGTGTTATCAAGTGTTTATGTTATTGGAAAGGTAGTTAAGTTTTAGGGGATTTAGAAGTTAAACGTGAATTATCAACTTTATGGGGTCCTCACCCCTAAGCACCACATTGTTTATGGATCAAGTGTATTTTAAAATTAAAATTAAGATTTTAAGTATTTCTCATCTTAGATTTGTAAAGGATAGTAGCATTAGTTCTCTTTGCTTATTAAAGATCTGTGCATATTGCCCAGCCAGTGTGGCTCTGTGGATTGAGCATTGTCCCCCTGGACTGAGAGGTGCCAGTTTGATTCCAGGTCCATTCACATTGCCTGCGTGGCAGGATGGGTCCCCCAGCAATAGGCAGCCAATTGATGTATCTCTCTCATATCAATATTTCTTTCTCTGTCTCCCTTTCTCTCTCTAAAAAATCAATATAAAATATTTTTTATAAATTTTGTACATATCTTTGAAAGTTATTCTAGGCTCATTATACATTTGATGATAGAGTAAGTCTACAGCTTTGTGATAGTTAAGTAACATACGAGTTTGAAATAATTTTCTTTGTAACTTTAGGGGTAGAGCAGATTTTTAAAGTGTCATTTTTGTTGGCACCTGGTAATTTGGAATGATACTTTTATTTTATTGCTGTTATTCTGAAATAAGGCTGTCCTCATTTAAGTATATTCAGTTAATAAATCAGCATCTGACTTTCAGATACTTTTTTATAATAGAAACTTAAAAATGTCATTATCTAGATCTTTATACACAAACCAGTTTACAAATGTTTATTAGTGCCAGTTTATTATTACTTGAAAAGTGAAACTAAAATCATAAGCCCTTTTTACAATCTAGAGTATTTCTATTTAAAGATTTATCATTTAATTTTTCTTTGAATATTCCTTTTTTGTTTTTTGTTTTTGTTTGTTTTTTACTCTTTAGCAGAAGTATCATTTTGCAAAAGAAGCCTATGAACAACTTTTACAGACAGAAAACCTACCTGCACAAGTAAAAGCATCTGTTTTACAACAGTTAGGTACATAAGATTTTACTTTTTATTATATATTGCATTAATTTAAGAGTTTGGGGTGTAGGGTACAATTTAAACTTCTGATTAAAGAGTCCGTTTTTATTTAGAATTTTGCATTTTAGGATTATGATTTATTATTTTGAAGCTGCACTTAAACTGCATACTTTATAATTGTTTCTATTATAAATGTATTCCTTTTCTTTTGTTCTGAGTTGATATGTTTATATCAACATCTAGCACAATTCATCTCAAAATGATACTAAACACAGTACTTCAATGCAGCTAGTCCTTTTAGATTCTTAGTCACATTCTAGTACTTCTCCTCCTGAAGCAGGTTTGAAACTTGCATGTGTTTAGCACTCCATGAAATTAATTGTCTTCAAAATCATTCAGATAGCTCATAAGTGGCTATTGAGCTTGCTTTCATAGGTTTATTCATAATATGATTTAATGGGGATATTTCACTTAAAATTAAATAATAGTCTGTATTTTCTTTATCAAGTTATTATGTTCCTATATATTAAAAGATACTAATCTGATGTCTAAAAGTAATATTTAATATTTATACTTAGAAGTATGGTAAGGATTCTCCCCATTAATTTATATTTTTGGTTATCTATCATGTCTGTGTTTGATATTTGGGTTGGTGTTTGTTTTTCTTTTAGCTGTTTTTATTTGGTCTTGATCAAGTAATTTGTAAATTTTAATAATATTATGAGTGGTAATAGGAGTATTTTCATGACACTATTTTGTCTATAACATTAAAAGCAAGTGAACAGTTTGCCTAAGTGGTATTTTTGCAAAGGTAGTTTAATATTCATGGACTGACTCACATCTGAAACGCTGGTTTCTGTTTGTCTTAAATGATTAACATTTTTGTCATGATACAGTCTTTTCATTGTCTTTGTAGTTGTAATTCTAAACCTATTATTCATTTAGATTTCAGTATAGCCTTCAAGGCTTTCTGTTTGTTGTTTTTATTTTTGGTCAAATGTTAATGACAGTAACCAGTGACAATAGGGTCTTTTGTTTTGTTTTTAATTTGAGTGGTTTATCTTTGATTATATATGTTTTCATCAATTCCTTGGAAATAAACATTGACATGGTGGATTTTAACAGAATTGTAAATCTTTATATTATTTGACTCATATGTTGGATTTTTAAAATTTAAATTTAGTAAAGGAGAAGTTAATACTTTAAACCTACTTAGTGCCAGTGTAGTACCCCAAATCAATAAAATTTTTCTGTTTTTTAAGAGCTCTTGTTAGCTTTGATAGTACCTTTTTCTGTGAACTAGACTTTCCTTTAGGTATCTTTGGTAGTTTTTAATTTGGGGGAAGTTTGATCCAAGATAAGTAAATGTACTGAAAGGGCATTTTAATTTGTGTTCTTTGTGTTAGTTTTAAAGTTAGTAGAATAGTTGACTTATGAGTAAATGCTTATAATTTTTAAATTATAGGATGGATGCATCATAATGTGGATCTGCTGGGAGACAAAGCCACCAAGGAAAGCTATGCAATTCAGTATCTCCAAAAGTCATTGGAGGCAGATCCTAATTCTGGCCAGTCTTGGTATTTCCTTGGGAGGTGAGACCAGATACTTGGGTTATGCTGCTTAAAGTTTACTTAGAATCCAAAATGTTAGATGTTGTAATATAATCTGGTCAGTAACATTTTATTCAAAATATATTGTAGCAAAAATTCTTTATAAGTAAAAACTGGGTCTCTTTAAAAGGGTGCTTTATTTTTTTTAATTTTAAATCCTCACCCTAGTATATTTTGTCATCTATCTTTAGGTAGAGTGGGAGGGAGGGACAGAGAGAGAGACATCAACTGGTTGATTACCTCCCACATGACCCCAACCATGGCTGGTGGACCTAACAACAACTGAGGTATGTGCTCTTGACCCGAACCAAACCCAAGACTCCTCAGTCCACAGGCCTACACTTCAACCGCTGAACCAAACCAGCCATGGCTATGTGCTTTTACTAAAAAATTCTTTTGCTTATTAGTTTCTGTTTTCATGTGACTTGAATTGTTGCTCGTTTTTAAAGAGTCATAAAATGTTTTAAAGATTCTTATGAGGTAGTAATTGATATTCTTTTCTAATTCAGTATTTAAATTTTTGTTTCCCCTGATTTTCATCTATCCCCTCTCTTCTCCTTCCTCTGTGGTTTGTCAGTCTGTCTTTTTTAATATATTTATTTTTATTAATTATTTCAATTCTGCCTGGTGATCATCAGTAACCTAAGGAAAAGGTCACTTAACAGTGGAGGTCTCAATTTTCATTTCATTTTGAAATGAAAGGATTTGGATTAGATCTATCAGGTACCTTTACTCAGGGTTATAAACTTAATTCAGTAGTACTGCTTTACTTGAATTATAATTTTGCTCCATTTTAAAAACAAGAAAAGTTTATTTTACAGAAGTTTGTGATGAAGTCTAATTGAAATTCAGTCCTTAAAATTAAAAACAAATTTTTTTTTTATTGATTTTTCTAGAGAGAGGAAGGGAGAGAGAAGTAGAAACATCAATGGGAGAGAGGAAACATTGATTGGCAGCCTGCATGCCTCCTGGTAGGGATTAAGCCCTGAAACCTGGGCATGTACCCTGACTGGGAATCAAATCAGGACCACTCTGTCCACAGGATGTCACTCAATCAACTGAGCCACACTGGCCAGGCGAAATTTAGTTTTTGTGTTAATTTTAGATACATTATTTTTTTTAATTTTATAGATTTAAATGTCTTTTAAATTTTATATATTTCAGGGATATTATTAAGAAAGTTCTTTTTTGTTGTTGTTGTTTTTATCCTCACCTGAGGACATTTTTGCATTTATCTTAACCTGGAGCAGGAGGGAGAGAGGTGGTAAGAGAGAGAGAGAAACATTGATGTGAGAGAGACACATTGAGTGGTTGCCATCCACACAACCCTAACCGGGGCCAGGGACAAACTGCTACCAAGGTATGTGCCCTTAGCGGAAACTGAACCCGGGCCTCTCTGGTCTGCAGGTGGATGCTCTAATCGCCGAGCCAGCTGGCCAGGGGTGAAAGTTCTTTTTAAATATTGTTTATTAATCATGAAGTTAGTTACTTTTAGTAGAGGTTAAAATTTTTTTTTATTTTAAATTACAGTTCACATACAATATTATGTAAGTTTAAGGTGTACTGCATAGCGATTAGACATACAATTTACAGAGTGATCCCCCTGATAAATCTAGTATCCATCTCACAGCATACAGTTACTGTAATATTACTGGATTTTTTTTTTTTTTTTGTGCTGTAGTTAATATCCCTCTGACTATTCTGTAACTACCAATTTGTAATTCTCAATCTATTCACCTTTTCACTCATCCTTCCAAACCAGCTTTCATTTGACAACTTTAGAAATGTTCTGTGTATCTATGTACGAATCTATTTGTGTTCTGCTTATTTTGTTTTGTTTTTACATTTTATATATAAATGAAATCATCTGAAATTTCTTTCTCTGAGTTATTTCCTTTAGCGCGATACCCTCCCAGTCTATGCATGTTGTCGCAGATGGCAAGATTTAATTTTTTGTTATGGCTTAGTAATATTGTATATATGCACCACTTCTTTATCTATTCATCTATTGATGGACATTTAGTTTGCTTTTATATCTTATAAATAGCACTGCAATAATCTTTAATAATTTTTTTTTCTAGTATTCTTCAAGGCTTATAAATGGAGTGTAGTTTTCATTCCTTGTATTATAGAACTTGAGAGTCTACATTTACTGTTTTCCAGTAAAGTCCTCAGGGAGAAGGTGAATCTTTTCTATTTCCATTGCCTGAGAAAAGTGGCTGTTTAAGAAATGGAATAAATAAGTACTATTTGAGTTTAAAGCTAAATTATTACAACAGTTAGTACAATGTATATCTTAATACAGGGGCTTTAAAAAGGCTTATTACTAGGAAGGGGGGTAGAGTAAACATTAACCACCACCACCCACCAATATAGTTTTATTTGTTAGCATTCCTACTATTATAATGACTATGAATCTGGGTATTTCATCCTTGTGGCTCAACGTTTAAAACTTATAGCTTGATATATACATAATATATGAAATTGTTATTGTTTCATCATATATAATCAAGATATAATGAAATATGTCTAGTAATGATATAACTTCCATTTCTTTAAAAATAGCATTTTATAAAGGGCTTTTTATAGTTATCTGAATTTAAAACATTGGCATCTATTTTAGCTTTTTTAAATAAAAATTTTTATTGCACACAGAACATTTTTGATTTCTGAAATATATGTTAACTTTTTCTAATTTCAGGATTATCATTTTAGACAGTAATTATTTTTAGTTTGTTAAATTTTTTCCTATGATTTTGTTCTTACTCTCATCTACTGCCTATTACTGTATTGCTTTATTGTTAGAGAAAATCAAGTTTGTCAAAATGGTATTTTAAAACTTTTGTAGCTCCAAATGAAGATTTCGTTGCCAATAAAATTCATAGGAATTTGATGTCACTAGCATTTCAGAGACTTGTTACTTCTGCATTCAAGTGTCCACTGCATATTGATATTGTGTGTTGAGTGGGTTGTATATACTAAAGTAAGTTGGGAATGTGGTAATAGTTCAACTAACTGTGACACCCACAGTCTCTCACAGTCACAGAACTATTAAATTTGGTAGTGATCAGGTGGCAACTTTGTTCACCCTCTCATTTTACAGATAGGAGAAGTGGGTCCAGAGATGAAAAATGGTTTCAAGGTCACACAGTGAATTAGTGTCCCAGGAGCTAAAACCCAGTTTGGGCAGTGCTGCTTCTGTTACATAAGCCAACCTCAGAGGAAACTATAAATTGTGTTACAGGGAAAGTGGTGACGGGGATTCAGATATCAGTATGTAACACATTGATTCTCTGTTTTTACACTTTTTTAAAACTTGAATATGAAAATATTGGTTTCAGAAATTACTTATTTTTCTTAGGATTAAGAAGATTTGTCTATTAATCTGAAATTTGCTTCTGTTAAAAAAGTTTTTTCTGTTACTACTACCACATTGTTTCTTTTGTCTATTCTTGTTTACATCACTGCTATGTCTTTAATTCTCCCTCTGGCACATAGAATGCTTGCTCACCCTTGAAATTGTCTTCTCTCTATCTTGCAGTGGCATTTTGTATATCTCACAACCCACACATTAGCCATTCCTAAGGCTTACTTCTATACCCCTTCTTTTATTTGCATTCTACACTTTTTGTTTTTTTTAGTAAAATTTTCTTCTTTTCTTTTTGTCCTTACCCGAGAACATCTTTGCATTTATCTTCAGATAGAGTGGGAGGGAGGGAGAGGAGAGAGAGAGAGAGAGAGAGAAACATCGATGTGAGAGAGACACATTAACTGGTTGCCACCCACATGACCCCAACCGGGGCGGGGACAAACTACAACCAAGGTACGTGCGTGCCCTTAGCAGGAACCAAACCCAGGTGTCTCTGGTCCGTGAGCCAACACTCTAACTGAAGCCAAAATGGCCAGGGCTGCAGTTTTTGTTTTTTAAATACATTTTTATTGTTTTTTTTTTTGGAGAGAAAGCGAGGGAGAAAGAGATAGAAACATTGATGTCAGATAGAAACATCCCTTTGCTCCCTCCTGCATGCCCCCTTCTGGGAATCTAACCTGCAGCCCCAGGCATGTGCCCTTACCAGGAATCAAACCAGGACCTCTCAGTCCATGAGATGGTGCTCAATCGACTGAGCAACACTGGCCCAGGGATATTCTGCACTTTTTATTTCAAATCCTCATGGGAGTAATTTTTTTTTTTTTTTTCATTTATCTTTAGGTAGAGTGGGAGGGAAGGAGAAAGAGGAGAGGAAAGTGGAAAGAGAGAGAGTAACATTAATGTGAGAACATCGATTGGCCACCTCCTGCAGGCCCCCCACTGGGGATTGGGCCCTAGAATTCAACCGGTGACCTCTCGGTGCATGGGTCAGTGCTCAATCATTGAGCCACATTGGCAGGGCCGCTTGCATTTTTGAAAAGAAAAATCTCAAATAGACCATTGTTTGATTTAAAATTTTCCATTTGTTCACGGAGTAATTTTTGCTTTTAATCTTCAAACCCATGTGAAATGCCTTCTATCTTGTTTTGTACTTTATCTGTGGTTCTCAAGTATTTGTGTTACATGAATTACCAAAGATATTAAAACTTCTTTTTTGCTATGTTCTATTATCCAGTGCCATAAAAACTAAAATTGCACAAATAGTTTCTTGGAAATGCATGCATAAACTATTCCTACATCTTAAAAAGAAAATGTTGCCACAGGTTTGGTTCACCGGTTAGAGCGTCGGCCTACAGACCAGAGAGGCCCGGGTTCGGGTCTCGCTAAGGGCACGTATCTTGGTTGCAGTTTGTCCCTGACCTCGTTGGGGTCGTGTGGGTGGCAGCCAGTTGATGTGTCTCTCTCACATCAATGTTTCTCTCTCTTCCTCTCTCTTCCCCACCCACTCTATCTCAAGATAAATGAAAAAATGTCACTAGGTTAGGATAGAAAAAGAGAATGTTAAAAACAAAGAACTACTTAAGGGTACATTTATGGTAGTTTCTGTTTCCTTTTCCAATAATTGACACACAGAACAGTTATTCTTTTACTCATTTTCTATATACATATAATTTTTGTTTGATTAATTTGTTTTAGTGATAAAAACACCATACACTGGCCTTCCCTTAATGCCTTCACAAATGATTTTTAAAACTAAGATTAAAATTTTTACAATTATTAGTAGCACCTATTAAATTAGACATTTAAAATAGGTTTTGTTTTAATTTAATAGTTGGTATTAACTGTCTCGTTTTTGTGCATTTCAAGAATTAAAGAATGTTTGTTTTGACGGAAGTTCAGAAATGAAAATTAAGATCTGCTGAAATTAGTTTTAGTTTTTGTTTTTTAACTTTATATTATTTCTTGCAAGTTCAAATTACATAAATCGAGCTCTGTGTGTTTAACCTTGAATATTATTGCATTGAACAAATTTGGGCTATAATGGTTCCCATAAAGTTTATTAATATAATGTATTATAACTAATGAAAGAGAATTCATTTAACAGAAAATTGTAATGTGGACAAATATATAAATGTATGTGTGAGCAATATAGACAGATATCTGTATGTTAGTTTGTTAGTGTTTTTTCTTTCCACATACATCATTTTGGCAAATAAATATAGTTGCTTTAATTATTAATGGAATATTGTGTGTGTGTGTGTGTCTGTGTCTCTCTATATCTATTTTTATATATATTTCTCCCCTTTCCCCTTTACAGGTGCTATTCAAGTATTGGAAAAGTTCAGGATGCGTTTATATCTTATAGGCAGTCTATTGATAAGTCAGAAGCCAGTGCAGATACGTGGTGTTCAATAGGGTAAGACTTGTGTATATAAAATTAAGAGCATTTTATTTGATGCATAAGTTTATTGTAGTACATATAGTATAGTGTGTATTAATGTTATACCGAGTCAATTTTACACAACCTGTTCTTTGTTTCTATTTCCAGTGTGCTCTATCAGCAGCAAAATCAGCCTATGGATGCTTTACAAGCATATATATGTGCTGTACAATTGGACCATGGTCATGTAGCAGCCTGGACAGACCTAGGCACTCTCTATGAATCCTGCAATCAGCCTCAGGATGCCATTAAATGCTACTTAAATGCAACTAGAAGCAAAAGTTGTAGTAATACCTCTACACTTGCAGGAAGAATTAAATTTTTACAGGTAAAAATTTTGAGTAGCATGTTTTACAAGACACATTTCAGTGTGATAATTTGCAGAAACAGGGTGGCTGGAAAATGTGTCTGTTTGTTGTCCGTAGTTTTCATAAGTTTTAGTATTTTGTGTTATTATTTTACTTTTCATTTTAGTTAATATGTAGCATTTAAAATGTCCTTTCACACATACGCTTTTTGGTGCACATTAATTTGCATGATTTTTCTGTGGGATATCTTCATGTTTGTTATAGCATTTTAGAGAAAAGAACACGTTTTTCCCGTCTTGCTTGAAATTTTATGGGACAATATCCATGAGAATTCTAAAAAAACAGAACTAAGCTTTGTTCTTATTTGCACAGGTATATTCTAGCCACCGTCTTTATATTAAGCATATACCTAAAACCCCACAAGTAAAATATGTTTTCTTTAAAAATAAATACCTGTAACATTCAGGAAGATTTAGTGGACTTACTTTAGTAGGCCTGTGTTAAATTTGCTTTTTACATAATTTTTCCTAGGCTCAGTTGTGTAACCTTCCACAAAGTAGTCTACAGAATAAAACTAAATTACTTCCTAGTATTGAGGAGGCATGGAGCCTACCAATACCTGCAGAGCTTACTTCCAGGCAGGGTGCCATGAACACAGCACAGAAGGTGAGAAGTTGGGTTATATTCTGTAGGTACCCAGCTTTAAGGGTCCTTTCCAGTCTGTGGTAATCAAACTTAACAAGAGCAGGATTGGCATTTATTTAACAAAAATAAAACTCTTTCAAATTTAATTGCAAAGAAATTTTAGATTAAAAAAATGACTTCCTCTGATATGGGAAGAAACTTGGGATAACAGTATAAAATCTTAAAATTTCTCATGATTTTGGAAGGGATTTTTTAAGGGATTATCATACTAATCTATTGAATTGAAAAAATAGTTTTTTTCCCAAGAAGGTACACATTTCTTCATTGATGATTTATTTGACTTTGATCTTCAATAATTGTAATACATGATGTTCACATAATTTTGAAAAATATGCCACTTATAAAGTTTTATTATTGGAAGGAATGAATTACGAATATGTAGAACCATATTTTTGTCTTACTTCTGTAATCCTTAGGCTTCTAAAGCTCATCATCCAAAAACTGAACCTGTGTTAGGCCTCAGTCAAACAGCAATTTTACAGCAATCCTTGCCAGTACACATGATTTCTTCTAGCCAAGTAGATGGCCTGTCCAGTCCTGCCAAGAAGAAAAGAACATCTAGTCCAATAAAGGTATGGATAAATTCTAGAGAAATGGAAAGTCCCAGTCAAAAATGAAGCTCTTGCTTTGGCCAGGTAACCATTGGTTAGAACATTGTCTCTATGCCAAGATTCCAGGTTTGATTCCCCGTCAAGCACATACAGGAATCAGTCAGTGAATGCATAAATACATAGAACAACAAACTGGTGTTTCTCTCTTTCCTCCTCCTGTCTCCCTCTGCCACTTCCCCTCTCTGTCTTGAAAATCAATTTTTAAAAAAATGAAGTTAAGTGTTCTGAAATTTTGCTTGTCCTATTTTAAACTTGTATACTAGACTGAAAAGTACTTCAGTTATTGTGTTATAATTTGGCAGTATGTTCTGATCCAAAATTGTAAGTTGTTTTTGGGTGTTTTTTTTTTGGTGGTACATGCTCCTAGCAGGAACCGAACCTGGGACTCTCTGGTCTGCAGGCTGACGCTCAACCGCTGAGCCACACTGGGCAGGGCAAAAAATTGTAGTAGTATTTAAATGCAAGAGTTATAACTTAATGTTCATCAAATCATTTTATTCATTTTCTGCTTTCATAAACTTAATACTCTTTTCCACCACTCTCTGCTTGTAATCAGTTGAATGGAGATAATGAACAGCATGATTTAGCCACAATATAGAAGAGATTTTTTAAGGTGGAGTAAATAAATGATACATGTTCAAATTCATAGATTTCTAAATTTACTATTCATTTAAAATTATTTTTAAATGATTTTCAGACATACATCCTATGTATGAAAATTTTCCAATTCTTACATAATGTCTCACTACTCATAACTGTTACTGTATGAAATAAACCATATATTTCAATTTGTTGTTTTTTTAATTAAATTTTTTTCAGAATAGTTCTGAGAACTCGAATAGTGGTCAAACTATTTCACATACTTTAACAGCAACAGGTTATTTGATATAACAGAAGTTATATGTATGAAATATTTATCCTATCAGTAATTTCTCCCTATTTTAAAAGTAGTAATAGGAAGCTTTAAGCTATTTTTAGGTATTAATTTAGCCATTCAGTTTTAAATGGAACATAAGTATAATGAGCCCACATTTATCAGGGCCAAAATAAAATGAAAAAGCAGTTCATAATTCATTTTTGTTTTTTACTGTTTTAAAGAATTAATCTATTTATGTGTTTTAAATGTAAGAATTAGAAGATGGAATACACTACTTAAATGCTCCTTCCAGTTCATGTCTCTAGCTACTTAATTTTCTTTTCCAATCAATAATTGTAAATAACTTTTTTTATGTTTTTATTTTCAGAGGTAATGCTATACCTATATAAGAAAAAATTCTTGTGTTATAGATACCTTCTTGTCTTTATTGTACAGTAAATATAGGTAGAAAGCTATGTATATCTATGACTTTGAAAGATATATGTATCATCCAGACTTTTTTAGTTCTGTGTATGGCTTCCTTATTTTTTTTATACCTACATAATACTATTTTTTACTCCATGGAGACTACTGTTTATTTAACCAGATTCCTATTGTTGGACTTTTGGGTCATTTCCACTGCTGCTTATAAACTCTTCTGTTACTATAAATGAAATAGTTTTCTTAAGATTGTAATTTCTTTTTTATGAAATATATTTAATTTAAAACACATACATAGCCCTGGCCAGTTTGGCTCAGCGGTTAAAGCGTCGGCCTGCGGTCCGGAGAGACCCGGGTTCAGTTCCCGCTAAGGGCACGTACTTCGGTTGCAATTTGTCCCCGGCCCTGGTTGGTCGTGCGGGTGGCAGCCACTCAATGTGTCCCTTCACGTCGATGTTTCTCTCTCTCTCTTCCTCTCTCTCCCTCCCACTCTATCCATACAAAAAAATGGAAAAATGTCCTCAGGTGAGGATAAAAAAATAAAAAAAAAGAAAGAAAAGAAATACACATACATAACCTTCTTCAGATGAATTTATGGGTTTTCCTTTTCTTGCTTTCCTGAAAGTACTTCATCATGGGATTAATTACTTTTGGTTAGGCGTAACTATATTCGACCACACAAAGTTTCTGAATTTGTAGCCTTTTCAGTAACAGGTTGCCTGATACTGTCTTATTTCTTGGATTTAACTTTATATTCTTTTTCCTTTTTGTAGCACTTGGAACAGCTTCAGACAAATAAAGATAATTTAAATCCAGCACAAAAACTGAGGCTAGAACAGTTGGAAAGTAATTTTGTCTTAATGCAACAAGTATGTATACCAATTTTTTCTAATATTTGTTATGTGAAATGTTTTTCTGGAATAAAAAGTTATTTTAGAATATACTAATGCTCACTTCAACTTTCTACATATTTTTAATAGAATTAACGTATCTGAATTTAGATAGTAATGGACAGCTTATTCTCTTAAATAGGCTTAAATTAATTTAGAACAGAACACTTGGTATTTTGCTCTTTATTTGCATAACATTTTAGATGTGTGATAAAGGCTTATTTTAATTATTTTATAGTTAACAGTTACTCATACTGAGGTGGAGCTCTTTTAAGGATTGTTTTATATCAAAGATTTGTTATAAACAGAATGGACATTTGAAATCCACTTTAATGATGGAAAATTAGCTTTGTAAATTATTGACATCATTTTCAGCTACTTTTATTGTTCTTATTAACCATTAATAAAGGAGGTTCTTTAACTATATAATTAAAAGGATTTCTGCTTTATCCATATGAACATAATGTGTCATTTTCAAACTGTATATTTTTTAATCTAGAGAGATCAAATGTTATACTGAATTAGGGATGTATTAGTGACACATTTTCAGAATCACACAAGCAGGTTTTCTTCTTTGTTTTTGAAGATGAGACAAACAGGACAAACTACTGGAATTCCTTATTGGCCAATAGCTGACTCATCAGTGCCTGCAAACTCTGTTTCTATCCAGCAACCATATTCTCCTCTGCCGAGAGTATCTAGTGTCTCTCAGCTTGAAGTTCACTCTGCTTGTTTTGAAAAACCTTTGTCCAATGGACCTTTTTCTGCAGGCTATGCTCCTTGCGGCCCACCAAAAATGGTAGGGAGTGCAGACACTATTTTGGTAGGCATTAATTATGTAACAGGAAGTGGAAGTGATGGAAATGTGCCTTACCTACAGCAAAACACACTCACTCTACCTCATAACTGCACAAACCTGACCAGCAGCACAGAAGAGCCATGGAGAAAACAGCTGTATAACTCCACTCAGGTAAAAGAAAGATTAGCTGCTTTATTTGCTCTTACATAACAGTTTCTTTGGGTTGTGTACATTTTAAGAAGAATAAATAAATATTTAAGGAATATTATTATCTTTAAAAATATTTAAAATCATAATTATATGAGAATTTTAACTTTTACAGTATTAGATTTACTTATCTAATATAAATTATGTTAGTAGGGAATAAAGAGAAAAATACCAACAGCCTTACAATTCCCTTAAATTTTATTGGTAATTAAGGCATGATGAGCATTGTTTTGTTTTTGTTGGTTTTAATCCTCACTTGAGGAAATGTTTATTGATTTTCTTATAATGTCTTCTAAGTTTGGTTTGAGCATTGCGGTAATCATTATCCCAGCCTCACAGTATAGTTATAAAATGTTTTCTCTTTCTGGAAGAGATTGTAGAGAATTGGCATAATTTATTTCCTACATGTTTATTGGAATTTGCCAGATAACTCCTCTAGACATAGCAACACTTATTGTTATGAAAGGTTATTGTTGTTGACTCAGTTTCCTTAATATGTCTTTTGGGGAAATGGTCAGTTGAGTGCAGGTTATCAAATATTGTGGGCATAGAGTTGGTCCTAGTATTCCTGTATTAACATTTTTTAATCCTTACCTGAGGATATGTTTACTGATGTTTAGAGAATAAGGGAGGGAGGAGAAAGAGTGAGATATCTATTCGGTGCCTCCTATACTTGCCTCAACCCAGGAATTCAACCCACAACCTGGGTATGTGCCCTGACTAGAAATCGAATCAGCATCCTTTTGGTGTATGGATAATGTTCCAGCCAGCTGAGCCACCCATCCTTGGCAGGACTTCTGTATTAACTTATTGGTCATGAGATCTGTGTCCCGTGTTTGTTTTTCTTCTCCCCCTCAGGTAGCGTTTATCAATTGTATTGATTTTTTCAAATAACTAAATAACTAGCTTTTGATTTTCTGTTTTCACTTTCATTTATTTTTGTTTTAATTGTTAATATTTCACTCCTTCTGCTTACATTGATTAAATTTTTCCCCCCTGTCCCCCACTTTCCTAGAGCAGAAGCTTGTCTTAGATGATTGATATCAAAGCCCTTTAATTTTATTTTTTGGTTACATGTATTGATTGCTCAAAATTTCCTGCCAAGCACTGGTTTGGATTTATCTCTCAAATTGTAGTAATTTGAGTTTTCGCTTTCAAGATGGCTAGCTTGCCTGAGTAGTATGAACTAGGAATAAATAAGTAGTTTTATGAGTTCTGAGTAAAAACAGGTAGCCAGTTTCCTTTTTAAGTTTATATATTCTTATAAAGATAATGGATATTTGAGTGCATGGGAAAACTGTATGAGGATTTTGAATCGATGAATGATATGATTCTATTTCCCTCCCCAGTGTTTTATTGAGATAATATAGTTTATATACAATTAAAATAACCCATTTAAAGTTTATAATTTAATATTTTTGTAAATGTATTTTGTGGTGTGTTTATTAATACCACCCCCCTCGTTTTGTATACAGTTAACCCTTGAACAACATAGGTTTTGAATCGTGCAGGTTCATTTAATCACAGATATTTTTATTTAAAAAAATATATATATATTTATTGATTTCAGAGAGAGGAGAAGGGAGAGGGAGAGAGAGATAGAAACCTCAATGAGAGAGAATATTGATTGGCCACCTCCTGCATGTCCCCCACTGGAGATCGGGTCCACAACCTGACCGGGAATTGAACCTGCGACCTTTTGGTGCATGGGTCGACACTCAACCACTGAGCTACACTGGCCAGACAATCACAGATACTTTTAAATTGACCCATTAATTTCAGTTGACTCAGGTGCTTAACTCAATCAGTTCAACAGAGTTGTTCGATGATCAAGTGGCCATTGAGAATCCTCATGTGCCAGTTGCCAAAGGCAACACCACCAACCCCCATATTGTTCAAGGGTCAGATGTATGTCTATAACCCCAAAAGTGTTTTGTGACCAGGTGTCATCATGTTCACTTCTATTCAGGTCCAAGGAAGCCACTAATTTGCTTTAGGTCTTTAATGTTTACGCTTTAAGGGGTTTAAATGAATTATATTAGACTTTTTTCTCCCCATGTTTATTACTACATTGCATGGGATGGATATATGCTCTTAATTTTAATTTACAACTTTAGAAATATTTGTGGTTTTTTCATATTTTGGTTGTTTTAAGTATTATCAGTAGTGCTACTATGAAGAGTTGTATAAAATACTTTTGGTGGATATATTTTTATTTCTATATCTAGGAGTGTGTATCTGTCAGTAGAGTTGATGTTTTGTTACAAATGTTTAACTTTCTGAGAATATCTTAATACAGTTCTGGATTTTACATTTCTACCTGCAGTGTGTGAGGTTATACTTATTCCATATAATTGCTAACATCTGATATTTGATAAGTCCTTAATTCTAGACATGTTAATGGATGTATAATGGTTTATATTAATGCTTGATTTGTATTTTTCTAGTAACTAATGATATTTACTTGATTGTTTGCCATTTTCATACATGATGATATAAAGTTTTTACTACTTTCTGAGTACAAGTTGTGTTCAATACATAGATTTGCCACTATTTCCTCCTAGTTTGTTGTGTTTTACTTTATTAGTAATGTCTTTTAAATGGAAATACATGATTTTGCTGAATATACTTTTATCAAAAAAATTTATCTTTTCTGTTCTCATATTAGAAATTTTGCCCAAACTAAAGTTAGAAAGATTTTCTACTATATTTTCTTACAGAATTTTTTTTTTTGTAATTCTCACCTGAGAATATTTTTTTTTATCTTCAGATAGAGTGAGGGAGAGAAGAAGAAGAGAGAGAGAGAATCATCAATGTGAGAGAGCCACTTGGACTCGTTGCCTCCCGCACAACCTTGACCAGGGCTGGGGAACCTGAACTGAAAGTGAGGCACATGCCCTTGACTGGAATCAAACCCACAACTCTTTGGTCCTCCAGTTGACGCTCTAACCCAGCGGTCCTCAACCTGTGGGTTGTGACCCCTTTGGGGGTGGAACAACCCTTTAACAGGGTTCGCTAAGACTGTCAGAAAACACGTATTTCCGATGGTCTTCGAAACAGAGACACCGTTCCTCTGTCCATCTCCAGGCTGTGTGCAGATATGCCCACATCCAACATGCACAACTGTATTAAAGGGTTGAGGCATTAGGAAGGTTGAGAACCACTGTAACCACTGAGCCAAACCAGCCAGGGCTCAGCTTGTCCTTTTGTACCAGAAATGTGTATTGGCGTGTATTTTATGTATAAATCTAATTGGGGTCAAATTGCAATAGTCATATTAATTTTTTCAAACTATGAATATAGTCTCTCCATTTACTTAGTTCTTTTTAAATTTCTCTCAGACATGTTTTGTATGGTTATCAGTGTAAGTATGTCTTTCATTTATTTCCAAATTATTTCTTGTAAGAATAGAGAAATATAATTGATTTATAACTTGAAATCTAACTCAGTTTATTTATTTTGTAATATTATGTATTTGATTTTGTTTTCATAAGATTGTGGACTTTACCTCTTTAATTTCTTATTACCTAGCTTAGAAGCTCTAGTACATAATTGAGTAGAAGTGCTAATAGGAGATATTCTTGAATTATTCCTGTTATTAAGAGAAATTATTTTGTGTTTCGTATAAGTTGCCTGAAAGTTGATTTTAGATTTGGTCAAATTTATTTTTCTGTGTCCATTCAGATTTTTTGATGCTGTTTGTCTCTATACTAATAGAGATATGGGTAAATTTATTACTCAAATAATGAATAACATTTATTACATTGATATTTTTGGATGTAAAACCTACCTTTATTTCTAGATTAAACCCTCATTAGTGTCATGTTGCATAATTCTTATAAATTGACTAACTTGATTTGCTTATATTTTCTCAGGATATTTGCTTTTGTGGTCAAGAAGAGTACTAATCTATAGTAGTCTTTTTCTAGCTTTAGTATTAGATTAATACTGGCCTACTAAAATAAGTTGATAATATTACTACATTTCCTAAAGAGGTTTTTGTAGCATTAGTATTATTTTGCCAAAAATATATTTGTAGTATCTGTGGTGAGGTCAACTCTTTAGTTTTTGATAAGGTAAAACACCTTGTATTGCTTTTATATACTTAATTTAAAATTTTTGTTTGTTTAATAATTTTAAAGGCATTTTTTTTTCTCTTAAGTTTTTTTCTTTGGTTTTTGTTTTGTTTTTTATTTCATTGATCCTTTTTTTTTTTAATCTATATTATTTCTTTCCTTTTAGTTATAGTTCATTTTGTATCATCTTGGCTTTGTAATGTGGTAGCATACTTTATCTTAGACCATTGTTCTTTGACAATGTTTTTAAAGTTATAAATAAACTAAGTATTGTTTTAAACATAAAATTTGATATGTTCTGGTTTTCATCAAATTTTTTTGTTTCTGTTGTGATTTTCTAAATTGACTCATGAGCTATTTAGACTTCTCTTGTGTATATTTCACTATTTGGGTATTTCTCTCATTTTACTGTTTTTGATATCTGATATAATTCTTTTTTTAACATTTTGTTCTATTTTAATTTATATAATTTTATTGGGACTGGTTTTTGCTCCTAGTGTGTGGTCTGTTGTAGACAGTATTTCATGTGAACTACAAATAATATATATTCTAATGATGTTAAGTGGACTGTGTTCACTTGGTTTTATAATGTTGCTAAAGTTTTCCATACCATTGCCTAATTTTTTACTGATGTTTCTATTGGTCATTTACAGTGGGCTAGTTAAATTTTAAGGTTTTATTATTGAATAGTTTATTTCTCTTTCACATTGATAATGTTTTACTTCATATACTTTAGAGTTTTTTATGTGGTGCTTATTTATGGTTTTTAAGAAAATACATTTGATCTAATACCTCTTTCTACTGAGAAATTGTCCTATATCTCTCATGTTAACTTTCTTTCTGTAATGTGTTCTCTGATCTTAATATTGTCATTCTTACTCTCTACGATACTTTTTGCAAGATAGGTATATATCATTTATTTTTTACTTTCAACATTTTTATTTCTTTGAAGGTAACTGTTTCTTGTATATGGCATATGTTTGGATCTTAGTGGTTTTAAGTAGTCTGATAAGGTTTACTTGTAGAAAGACTGTTCAGTCTGTTTGTATTTAATATTATTATTAATGTGGTTAATTTGTTTATTTGCTCTTTTGTTTCCTATCAGTAACATCTGTTTTCTGTTCTGCCACATTTGCTACTTTTCATTGTGTTTAGCCAGTACATATTAGTGTACTTTTTAATTCTTTCAATATAGAAAAATGACTTTGATTTATTTTCTCTCCCATGTTTTTGGTATTACTCTTATATTTATTATCTGTATGCATATAAACCCAATAATACGGTATTAAAATTGCTTTAAACCTTTATATGTATGAAAGACAAATAAAATGTGTATCTATGCACAATATTTTACACTTACATTATTTTTAAATTTTCCATTGTTTTTTCTTTTTTTTCCCTGCACCTAAGTTACTAACTGATATATTTTTTTTCACTAAAATTATATGTTAGTATTTTTTTTTTTTTCTATGTTAGTATTTTGTTAGTGTCATATGCCTCTATTAGCTGGGTGCTTTTTAGAAATGTTATTATTTCATCTTTGCTTTTGAAGTACAGTTTTACTTTACATAACTTTTTTTTTTTCTAATTTATTTTCTTATGAATATTTTGAACATGTCATTCCACATACCTAGATTGCAGATTTTATAAGTCTTTTATTTATATCACAGTTTCTTTTAATGTGATGTGTCATTTTCTTTGCTGCTTTTTGGTTTTCTTTTTGTAGTAGCATTTAGCAGTTTTAGTGTCATGTCTATAGTTCTTTTACTGTCTGTACTATATAGGGTTTTCTTACTGGATTTGTACATTTAATGTCATTTTCATTGATATAAGAAGTGTTCTTGATATTTTTTTTCAAATATAAAATTTGAGTGTCCGTTCCTCTATGTTTAGCAATTTTATATTGGGTACTACCAATGATTTAAAATCTGGGTTGTAGCTATTCTCTTTTCATTTTTACAAAATTAATTTTTTCTAGATTTAGTAACTCTCTGGTTGAATATTCTCACGTGAAGTTGGTAGCCAATGCTTTTGTTTTTGTTTTAATTTTAATCTGTACCTAGTTTCCTTGGATTTTCTGCTATGTTTGTAATATGTCGGCAGTCACTAATTATTAGACCTAAAATTGTGTTCATAGTCAGGCTGCCTATTGAGTGTCAGCTGAGAAACACATTGAAAATTGCAGTCAGTTGTGAAGTCTCCCTATGCTTTCACTCTGCCTCATGGATGGGTTCCTTTTTGAAAAAATTATAAACTGAGGATACTTTTATCTATAGCTTGGAATGTTATAAAATGTTACTTTTTCATCTGGTTGCTTATTTTCTTTTTTTTTTATTTATTTATTTATTTATTTTTTTATCCTCACCCGAGGACATTCTTGCAACTTTTGTACAGATAGAGTCGGGGGCGGAGAAAGAGAGAGAGAGAGAAACATCGACGTGAAAGGGACACATCGAGTGGCTGCCACCCACGCGACCGACCAGGGCCGGGGACAAACTGCAACCGAGGTATGTGCCCTTAGCGGGAACCGAACCTGGGTCTCTCTGGACCACAGGCGGACGCTCTAACCGCTGAGCCAAACTGGCCAGGGCAAGGTTGCTTATTTTCTAATTGTTTAATCTATGAGTTAATTTTAATGGTGATAAAAGAATTTCTTATTTGCCTACCCACAAACTTTGTGAATGATATTTTGAGTATTGATTAGGTTATAGTCAAGATAATAGTTACTTTTTTTAACATTTTTATTTTATATAACCATTTTATTATTTTTAAATTATTTAATTATATCCTTTGGAACTTTTAATTTGCATCATTTTCAGTATGTCAAATATTAAAGTAGATAATATGTGGATAATCTGTTTGAAACCATTATATTGCTAGTCCAGAGGTGGTTTGTTTTTTTTTCAATGACAGAACTAAATGTTAGAGGCATGCTAGCAAAATTTAGATGATTAAAAGTGACTTTATTTTTAGTTCAAGTTTTAGACTTTTATCCAATTATTAAACTAATTACCATATTCAGAAAGAAGCAACCATAGAATTTTTTCTGCAGTTCTGAGTTTCCACTTACTATGGAGTTTGAAGTTAAAACTATGTTAGTGTATGATTATATTTCTAACTCCTGAGATGTTACTAGCTTTCATGTCCTATTGTTAAAATAGTTTGGAAACTATTACATTATTATTGTATTCTAGTAGCACTTTAATATGTGTTGATAAATTAATTTATTAACTACTTTGTCATTAAATCAAGAATCTTTTTAGAGCAATTTATGACACCAAGCACAAATACAGGTAAAACTTACATAATTCTTTGTATACTTTTATTTCATGAAATAATTTTTCTCTGTGTCCAGAACTTTTATTAATTTTGATAAACTGCCCCATCAAAATTCTTTAACAACATCAGTATATTCTCCTAATTATGTGAATTTGGGGAAAGTGCTATCTCTTTCCAAATTGTTCATGTGGACATTACTAGAATGTCTTTGTAGGCTGTGGAGTGAGATGATGGAAGGGTGGAAATTCATGTTATTCCTTAAAATACTTTTATAGATTTAATAGTTTTCTTAGCTTTGAGGAAAGCTACTATGTTTATACATATTGCATTTGCTGATAATTTTGAAGGTTTAATAAATTTGTCTTCTGTATTAAACTTATATTACATTGTAGCCCTGGCCGGTTTGGCTCAGCTATTAGTGCGTCAGCAGGGACCAGAGAGGCCTGGTTTGTTTCCTGCTAAGAGCATGGACCTCAGTTGCAGTTTTTCCCTGGCCCCAGTTGAGGTCATGTGGGTGGCAGCCACTTGATGTATCTCTCTCACGTCAATGTTTCTCTCCATTTCTCTCTCTCTCTCTCTCCCTCCTTCTCTCCCTCCTCCTATATCTGAAGATAAATGCAAAAAAAAAAAAAAGCCCCTAAACAATTTATAATACATTGTAGATAAGTGGTTTATTATAGTTTGTGTTTATAGCTCTAATTGGTAATCACTGTATGTATGCTTTTTTATATCTAAATTTACTGAAAATTTTCTGTAAATATAAAAATGAATGCATCAGAATTGAACAAAAACAAACTCAAAACCTTATGTGAAGAAATATTACAACACTAAAAAACTGAATCAGCTCAGTTACACAAGTTTCTCTAAAATTACTACTTTAATCAGTTGGTAATGGGAACTTTAAAAATTAATTTTTAGGATTTGAGATAAATAATGTTACATATTTAATTGTTTGTTTCTGGTAGCTCTGCTTTTATTTAGCATTTTTAATTCTTTGTATTGTTGAATTTGCATAATTATAGATTTAAACCAACCTTTTTGATTACTTTATTTCTGTCTTCTCTCTCTCTCTTTTTTTTAGGTGCTTCACAAAGGTCAGAGTTCACATTTGTCAGGACCTAATGATGAACAACCTTCACTTTCCACTGGACCTGCCCAGTATCTTCAGGCAGCTAGCACTGGTATTCAGAAACAGACTGGACCTCGAACTATGCCTGACAACTCAGTAACACAGGGAGCTGCTCTCAATCACCTCTCTTCTCATATTGCTACCTCAGGTGGACAGCAGGGCCCCACCTTTACCAAAGAGAGCCAACCTTCAGGAAATAGATCTTTGATGCCTGAAACAAGCAGACATGCTGGAGACAAATCTAATGGCTGTGTTGTTGTCAAGGGACTTTCTAATCATGTTCAGCAGCTGACAGTAGAACCTGTTTGTGGTCCTATCCAAGGAGATTGTACATCACCAAATTTACTAATATCTGACAGTTCTCATATCTCTGCCTCATTGACTGGAAAAGCCAGTGATGTTGTGGTTACCGAAGCCTGTAACAAAGCCAGTAATATTCATCCAGCTATTCATACAAAGACTAATAATTCTATTACCTCTTCATCCTCTTCAGTCATTTTCACCACGACATCTTTTTCAAAATCCACTGAGCAGGCAACCACACACAGTGTTACCATCCTTAACAGTCTTCAAAATAGGTTACACACAATTAATAGAGAAGGACTAGAGAACTTACAGAGCTCTAAGAAACCAGACCTGCCTGTGATTAGCCTCAAACCTGATCCTCAGATTATACCATCACTATCTATGTCTATATATTCAAGTTCCACAGAAGTTCTGAAGGCATGCAGGTTAGTATGGGAACTTTAATCACAAAATGAAAATTATTGATTACTATCCAAACAAAAAAACTAATAATATTTTCATTTTATAAGAAATAAAAATTATGTAAAAAGTGATATAGTGCCCTGACTGGTTTGGCTCAGTGGTTCAGGTGTTGGTCCGCAGACTCAAGAGTCGTGGGTTTGATTTTGATCAAGGGCACATACCAGGATTGCGGGTTTGATGCCAGCCCTAGTCAGGGTTGTGCAGGAGGCAGCCAGTTGGTGTGTGTGTGTCACATCAATGAGTCAGTCTGTCTGTCTGTCTGTCTGTCTGTCTGTCTCTCTGTCTCTCTCTCTTTCTCCCACCCACCCACCCCATTCCTCTCTGAAGATAAATGGAAAAATATCCTTAGGTGAGGATTTAAAAAAAAAATCATGTAGTTATTTATCTAAAAGAGCAGTTTAATAAGGAACTTTGTTATGCTTGAGTATCAGTATGTATCAGCATGATTTTTAGGTTTTAATTTTAGTTTCTGATTTAATAAAAATAAAGATGTTATTTAAAACATTTTATAACATAGTACATATACTTTATAAAAAGTTAGAAAATGTAGACAATGAAAGTATGATATTCTATCTTATCACAGACTATTCAGTGTACATATGTCTGTATTTATAATTATATCCCTCCAGATATTTGCTGTATGTGTGTGTGTGTGTGTGTGCATTTAGGTATTTTAAGACCAAAATGAAAACATAATGTAAGTTTATTTTTCAGTTTATAATTTGAAATCAAATTTCAAAGTGTATAATATCATCTGTATTTAAATGTTTTTATTGTTCCAGAAGTAACTATTTCGAAAGCTTAACAGTTTTTAGTTTTTGTTTTCTGAGTTAAAATTTTAAAGATTTATAAGTATCTGATGTTTAGACTAAAAATAAAAATCGTTTGAGTTGGGGCGTAATTTTCCCCATGTTTAGCAAATATGATACCTTTAATTAAAGGGAAAAAGAGTTAATCCAAGTACTATTAACTAATAGTTATGTAAAATGTGAGAATTCATAATAACTCTATAATTGACTTTAAAATTATTATAGTAATCTATAAGTTTAATAAAGTGGATTCTTGCTGAATATTAGTCAGGGAATCATTTTTGACAATAGAGAACAAGAGGTGCTTTTAGATTTTAAAATGGTCACATAAGTATTCTTGAAATAATTATGATTTAGAAAAGACAAATCTTACAGTGAAATTATTGTAGATGTCAAAACATTTTACAGTATTTTAGCATTAAATGAAGAAAATCTAAGGATAAAATAGGTTGAAAAATTTGGATTTAGGTGAGAAAATATATTGGATAATTAAAAGGTAAAAGAAATTACAACAATAATTTATATTATGTGGCTGGCTATATGGTATATCTTGTTCAGATTTGAAAAGGTATAAGAAATCAAAGTGAGCATATGCTGAAAGTTACAATTCTGGGTTTCCTACTAAATGAATTACAAATATCCTAAATGATTTTATTTTTATAAATGCCCTATACTTAAAACTTAGATTTTTTTTTCAAATCTGTTTTTAAGATTAATAGCTGATGCAGTTCTTCTACTTACTATTTTACAGGAATTTAGGTAAAAATGGATTGTCTAATAGTCACATTTTTTTGGATAAATGTCCACCTCCAAGACCACCAACTTCACCATATCCTCCCTTACCAAAGGACAAGTTGAATCCACCTACACCTAGTATTTATGTGAGTCTCATTGATGAATTAGAATCAAGTGTCTGAACTTGTTAATCTTTTGAATATACATTTTAAACCAATGCAAATTAAATTGATTTTAAGATGTTTGGGTAAGAGTCAAGTTTTCTCAGTAGTTGAAGATTTTGCAAAAACATATTTGTATTTTAGAGGATGGATGACAACTGATATCTCTCACTCTAGATATGACCAATACTTACTTTTGTAAATAAAGTTTTTCTGGTATACAGACAAAGTGATGTGTGTGTGTGTGTGTGTGTGTGTGTGTGTGTGTGTGTACACACGTCAGCAGCAGCAGCATCTGATTGCTTTGCATTAGTTTGGCAGAGTTCAGTATTGGCACAAAACATGTAGTTGATAAAAACCCAAAATATTTTCTGTCTGGCTTTTTATAGGAACTGGTGTATTTGAAGTATTTTCTTACTTCTGGGTTGGGATTATATGAGAAGAGTAAAAGATCATTTGTTTTTGTGTCATTGTTTGAGGGTAACTTACTTCTTAGACTATATTCTGCTCCTGCTAGTTTTATGGATCTTCAAATTTGTTTGATTTTATGTGATTAAAAAAAGAAATTTTTGTGTCTTTAAAAATAGTGGAGAATATAAAATTGATGAATACATATGACTAAAAAGTATATAATAAATATAAGTAGGTATTTTTAATTTAAAGCTGAGTGTAGTTTTTACTTTTCAAGAATTTAAGTGTTTGATATAAATAGTTGCTATGAATTAAATAAAATAATTTATTTTCCCCCCAGAGTTTTCTATTCTTACCATTCCCCCTAACACACAAGTTTAAAAACACACACACAAATTTTTAGCTAAAAATTAAACATTTAGTACTTAGAATGATTTTGCATATGATAAGATTTTGGATATTTGGCTCTTATGCTAATATTTTACTGAATAAAAACGTACTGATACCTACAGGACAGGAAGATTCTGAGATTAAGATGAAAATAAGTCTTTGAAAGTAAACTTTGAGAGAATAAATGCAAAATGAAGATTTGTGTTTTGTGGGTCATTTTGAATCATTTTGTATTTTGATAATATTTTTTAAACCATTGAGCTTTAAAGTTTACTTCCCCTACCCTTTTATACAAGAATTATGCAATTATACCTGGGAATATAGGTTGAATGGCTAAAATATTGAAATATATTTTGTAAATCTTGAGATATATAATTGGTTGGTAACATATTAAAAACTATAAAGTTTAAAATGTATATTTCTGAAAGATATTATAAAGCAGTTATATCATAATAAGTATCTTAGAAAGACTAATGATAAATACTATAGTATGTAGCAATATAACATTAATGGATAAGATACATTGCAGAACTCTGCCCAGTTTGGCTCAGTGGTTAAAATGTCAGACCATGGACCGTAGAGAGCCAGGTTCGGTTCCCACTAGGGGCACGTACCTCAGTTGCAGTTTGTGTCTTGCTTCAATTGGGGTTGTGTGGGTGGCAACCAGTGGATGTATCTTTCTCACATCAATGTTTCTCTCTCTTCATTCCTCTCTCCCTCCCACTCTGTCTGAAGATGAATGCAAAAATGTCCTCAAGTGAGGATTTAAAAAAAAAAGATACATTGCAGATGTTACAATGCTTGATGAAAAATGAGTATGAATTTGTAGCATAATATTTAATTATTTTTCTTTGATCTAACATTACATTTTAATTTACAGTTGGAAAATAAGCGTGATGCTTTCTTTCCTCCATTACATCAATTTTGTATAAATCCCAAAAATCCTGTTACAGTTATACGTGGCCTTGCTGGAGCTCTTAAATTAGGTAAGATTTAATTTTTTTTTTTAAGTTTGAATAGTTTTGTCTATTACTGATTTTGAAAACCCTCAATTTTTGATTTATTGTAATGTTCTCTCACTTTCTCAGTGTTAATATATGCTATCATTATTGATTATTGACAAATTTATGATGGATTTTTAGTTTTTAATTTGGTATCATTATGTAACATTCATGGTTTAGGTTAGATAACCAGGAACCTTTTGAATATAAAATGCAGGGAAAGTTAGATTCTCCTTATAAATTCTCTAGCCCTTGTTAAACCTCATGATGGTTAGATCCGTTGCTTTAAGGGACTGCAAATTTGATACTACAAGACTTGAAGTAGTCTTCATGGAAATGGATGGGGCTTTGTGTTCTTTCTAAAGTGCTTTTGAAATGTTCACTGTACCAAATAAAATTTTATTTATTAACGCAACTTATTTATTTACTTATGAAGATCTTGGACTTTTCTCTACCAAAACATTGGTAGAAGCTAACAATGAACATTTGGTAGAGGTGAGGACACAGTTGTTGCAACCAGCTGATGAAAACTGGGATCCCACTGGAACAAAGAAAATCTGGCGTTGTGAAAGTAATAGATCTCATACCACAATTGCCAAGTATGCACAGTACCAGGCCTCCTCCTTCCAGGAATCATTGAGAGTAAGTATTTAGTTTTTATATATTACTTTTATGCACATTATTTTTATAACAGTCTATTTAGTTGATATATTTTATAAGTGCTATAACTTACAAATAATTAAAGTTTTAAAAATTTAAGCAAAGTTAATAGTTCATAAAATCCATGCTGTTAATGGAGAAATAAATTTACTGTCTGATAAAATAATCCCTTTTTTGAAATATTTTTGTTTAGAATATTAAATAATTTAATAGTTTTTTAAAAATTAGTGTTAAGAAAATTATGGGTATAGCTGATTTTCATTTGGTCCTTGAAAAGATGTTTCTATTTTGTTTTATCTGAAAGATACTTCTATTGGAAGTATTACTACTCTCTCCCTGTGTGAATCTTAGTTTCTCAAGAAGACTTGAGCAGAAGTTTATCAAAATATCTCAAAATACATGGGAAGTAAAAAAAAAACAAAAAAAAACTTAAGCCAAAGAGTAGTTACTAAAAGACATAATAGGAAGTGAATCAGAAATAGAGTCCTGCAGTAGTTATTAAAATAAAAACTTTTAATTATTTCACAAAATAAACATAAAAGCAGTGAGATCACTGGATATATTACTCAACTTCAATATTTTTCCTCACCTGTGTGTCTAAATTTAAACTGAGTCTGTCACAGATAAAGTGATACTGAAATCTCATTAAAACTAGATTATAGGATGAGGTTTGGGTTAGAGATTCTTTATTATCCATATTTCTTTAAATGAAAGACTAACTTTTTTAAGGGTATGTCAAAGCACTAGAACTGAAACAATTGAAAGTTTTACATGGGTAACTTTTTATGTCATTTTTCTTTGTACAGTATTTAAAATTCCGACCTTATTTTTACATTTTAAATCATTCAGTAGCATTAAGTATATTCACATTGTTGTGCCACCATCACTGTTACTCATCTCCAACACTTTTTCATCATTCCAAACTGACAGTCTGTCTATCCTTTCAAAAATAATTTATTTACTACTACCATCTTTTCATAGTCTCTGATAACTACTACTCTGCTTTCTGTTTCTAAAAGTTTGACAAGTCTAGTTGCTTGTAAAAGTGAGATCTGAACACTTAGCAAAATGTCTTTCAAGTTCATGCATGTTTCACAGTTTCAATTTTTAAATGGAAAAGTACTCCATTTCTGAGAATAGTATAAATATTTTGTTTATCCCTTCATCTACTGATAAGCACTTGTGTTATTTCTACCGTTTGGCTTTTGTGAATAACACAGTTATGAAAATTGGTGTATAAACATATTTTAATTCCTGCTTTCAATTATTTTGCGTCTATAGCCAGAATTTGAATGAATGACTACGTTATGTGGTAATTAATGTACTTAATTTTTTACAGAATATTTTTACAGTTGCTGTACCAGTTCATATTTCTACTAGTATTACACAAGAGTTTCAGTTTTTCCACATTCTCACAAAAACTTGATATATATTAGCTATTTTAAGGAGTGGGGAGTAGTATATCTTAGTTTTAATTTGCATTTCCTTAAAGATGAATGATGTTGAGAATCTTCTTATGCTTATTCTTCACATACTTATTCAAGTTCACTGCCCATTTTTTAATTGAGTTATCTGTTATTTTGCTGTTGTGTAGTAGGAATTTTCTCTGATACTAATTTCATATCAGATACATGATGTACAAAATATTTCTACAATTTTATGGATTGCTATTTAATCTTATTGACAATATGTTTTGATGCACTCATTTTTAAAAATTTTAATGGTCTAATTTATTTCTTGGTTTTTGGCTGTGCTTTTGATACCATTTTCAAGAAATTGTTGCTAAATCTAATGTCAAAAAGTTTGCTTTTTGTTATTTTTAATTCTTACTCGAGGATACCTTTTCATTTTTGTTCAGGTAGAGTGAGAGGGAGAGAGAGAAGCATCAACTTGAGAGGGACACAAGGACTGGTTGCTTCCTGCACAACCCCAACCAGGGCCAGAGATGAACCACAACTGAGGTACATGCCCTTAGCAGGAACTGATCTTGGTTCTCTCTGGACCGCAGGTTGATGCTCCAACCAGTGAGCCAAACTAGCCAGGGTTTGCCTTATTTATTTATTTATTTTTATCCTCACTGAGGACATTTTTTCACTTTTTGTTTAGGTAGAGTGGGAGGGAGAGAGAGAAACATCCATGTGAAAGGGATACATCGAGTGGCTGCCACCCGCATGACCAACCAGGGCCGGGGACAAACTGCAACCGAGGTACACACCCTTAGCGGGAACCGAACCCGGGTCTCTCTGGACCGCAGGCCGACGCTCTAAACGCTGAGCCAAACCGACCAAGGCATTGCCTTATTTTTTTAAAAGAACTTTATTGTTTTCACCCCTGTGATTGGGTCTTTGATTCATTTTGTATTCATTGTTGTATTTTATACAATAGTTCAACTTTTCATTATTTTTATATACCTGTCTAGTTTTTCTGTACCATTTGTTGACAACACTGTCCTGTTTGCCATTGAATAGTTTGGCGTCCTCATCAAAAGTCCATTGACAGTATATGCCAGATTTTATTTCTGGGTTCTTATTTCATCATTCTAAATAAATGTCTTTGTGTCAAATACACTCTGTTTTGTTTATTCTTTGTGATAGTTTTGGAAAGAAAGTGTATAACCCCAAACTTTGTTCTTCTTTATTAAGATGTTTTCGCCACACTTGAGTCTGTTAAGATTTTATATACATTTTAAGATGGATTTCATTATTTCTGGGGAAAGAATTGGAATTTAGATGTGGGTTACATTGAATCTATAGATTCCTTTGGGTAGTATTGACATCTTAACAGTATACATTCTACCAAACCACAAATTCCTGTCTTTTTCCTGATTTAAGAGTATAAGCTTTCACTCTTTCACCATAGGATGTGATGTTATCTGTGAGTCTTTCATATGTGAATATGGGCACTTACATTGTTTCCATAACTAAACTATCCCAAATAATGCTGTAATCAACATAAAGATGTATATATCTTTTTGAATTAGTATTAGATTTCTCTGGATAAATACCCAGAAGTGGGATTACTGAGTTATTTGGTAGTTAAATTTTAATTTTTTGAGGATCTTCCATACTGTTTACCATAGTGGCTGTACCAATTTGCAGTTACACCAAAAATGCATAAGGGTTCTCTTTCTCCATAGTCTCGCCAACACTTCTTTGTTGATTGATTGATATTAGCCATTTTGACAGATGTGAAATGATACATCATTGTAGTTTTAATGTGCATTTCTCTGCTGATTAGTGATCTTAACTATCTTTTCATATGTCTGTCTGTTGGCCATTTCTGTGTCCTTTGGAAAATTCCTTTGCTCACTTTTTTTTTTATTTTTTTTTATGAGATTTTTAAATCTTTTTGGTGAGGTTCTTGATACTTTGGATATTAATCTCTTATCAAATGTATCATTGGCAGATACATTCTTTCATTCAGTAGATTCTTTTTCTTTTGTTGATGGTGTCCTTTGCTGTGAAAAATCTTGTAGTTTGATGTGGTCTGTTAATTTGTCTTTTATTCCCTTTGCTCAAGGAGACATACCAGAAAAAATAATTGCACCCAAGATTTTACTGCCTATGTTTTCTTTTAGGATTTTTATTGTTTCATGTCTTACATTTAATTCTTTAATCCATTTTCAGTTTATTCTTGCATATCGTGTACGTCTGTGGTCTTTCTCTCTTTTTTTATGTATATGTTCAATTTTCCCATAGCATTTATTGAAGAGATCATGTTACCTCATTGTATAGTCTTACTTCCTTTGTCATAGGTTAATAAACCATATTTGGAGGCTATTTTCTTCTGTTGATTTTGTGTCTATTTTTATACCAGCACGGTGCTGTTTTGATTAGTATAGTGTTGCAGTACAATGATATGAGATAATGTGATAACCTCCAACATTTTTCTTCTTTCTTAAGGTTACTTTATATAAATTTTAGAATTATTTGTTCTAGTGCTGTAAAAATTTCATTGGTATTTTGATAAAGATGCATTTAATATATAGATTGCCTTGGATAGTATGGATATTTTTAACAGTGTTTATTCTTTCTATTCATGAGTATAGTATAGTCTTTCACATATTTATATCTTCTTCATTTTCTTTCTTTAATATCTTCTCATTTTCTGAGTATAGTTCTTTTCTTCCTTGTTAAATTTATTCCTAGATTTGTGTGTTGGTTTTTTAATGCAGTGGTTGATAGGATTGTTTTCCTAATTTCTCTTTTGATATTTCATTTTTGATTAATAAAAATGCAACTGATTTCTGAATATTAATTTGAGATATTGCTTTTTCAAATTTTTTTTTAACCAATTTTAGTGGTTTTGGGGTTAATTTAGTAGGGCTTTCCATATATAATATGCCATATTTATATTATGACAGCTTTACATTTTTCCACTTTGGATACCTTTTATTTATTTTTCTTATCTGATTGCTATGGCTAGGATTTTCAGTACTATGTTAAATAAAATTTTGAAAGTGAACATCCTTTTATTATTCATAATCTTAAGGGAAATGCTTTTAGGTTTTCATCTTTGAATATGATGTTAGCTTAAGGGTTGTCATGTTGCGATATAATCTCTATAAGGTATAATCTCTCTTTGCTGAGAGTTTTTATTAATAAACAGATGCTGGATTTTGTCAGATTCTTTTTCTACATCTGTTGACATGATCATATGATTTTTTAAAAAATTTTGTTTATGTGCTGTATAACGTTAATTGATTTGCTGATATTGAACCAACCTTGCATTCCAGGAATAAATTCCACTTGATGATTGTGTGTGATATTTTTAATGTATTAAATTAGGCTTGTTAATATTTTTTTGAGGATTTTTGCATTTGTGGTCATTAGGAATATTAACCTATAATTTTCTTTTTTTGTAATGTCTTTGTCTGGTTTTGGAATCAGGGTAATGTTTGTCTTATGAAATGAACTTGTGAGTCTTGCCTTGTTTTTAGTTTGTTGGAATAGTTTGAGGAAGGATAAATGTTAGTTGTTCTG